TGGGCGTGCTGGGCTTGGTGTACTCTCATTGACCATACACGAGAATACACCGGAATACGTAAATATAAAACTTTCTGGAAAAAGTGCTGATCCTGGTTTGCTTCGTGTATTCTCAGTGACAATTCAAGAAAAGATATCAGAATACACAAATATGTAAATGTCTATAAAATGTGCTGGACTTGTTAGGCTTCGTGTATTCTCATTGACAATACACGAGAATGCACCAGAATACACAAATAGATAAATTTCTATAAAACGTAGATTTTTGTAAAATGTGCTGAGCATCCTAGGGTTGGTGTATTCTCATTGACAATACAGGAGAACATTGGAATACACAAATATATAAATTTCTAGTAAATGTGCTGGGCTTGCTGAGCTTGGTGTATTCTCGGTGACAATAGAGAAGAGTACATGAAGATACGCAAATATATATATATATATTTCTGCAAAATGTGCCTGGCTTGTTATATTGTCATTGATAATACACGAGGATACACCAGAGTACACAAATATATAAGTAGCTTTAAAATATGCTTGGCTTCCTGTGCTTGATGTATTCTAATATTCATCATCATCATCGATCGGGCTTCTTAGGCTTTTCAGGCATAAAAGGCTCGGCCATTCGGTCCCAGGATGATTTGTTTTCGGCGTACCGCATAATCTCGTTGACAGAGAGCGTGCTACGGCCACCAAATCGGGCTATGTGCCCGGCCACCTGATCCATGTACGTGTGTGTTTGTCGCTTTGGTCGATCGTCTTCAGTTGTTATTTTGTACTGGTAGAGCGCATAAATGTTTGCTGGTTCATCGGGTGGTTTGTATTGTTTCTTTGGTTTCCAGCGCAAACAGTGTCCGACAAACTTGAGTTGACGGTGTCGGATCTCCTCGCTTATTTCATGCTGTCCGGCTAGTTTGTATAAATCATAGTTGGTCATATGAGCTTCGGACTGTTTTATGTTTAGCATGATTCTGTAACATGTTCTCTGAAAGACGTCTAGCTTGTTTTTAAGGTCTTTTGATAGGACCCATGTTTCGCATCCATGAAGTAGAATGGAGACACAAGCTGTTTGAAATAGTCGCATTTTCATTGTACTTGTTGTTTTCGGTGATGTGAGAATGGGTCTTAGCTTTGCGAATGCTGATCAGGCCAAAGCTATGCGAGTTTTGACGTCCTTTTCCGTTGAGCACATGTACGAGCCAAGATATTTGGATTCATTAACCGCTTCAATATTTTGATTATCAACTGATAGGTTGTAGTCGCTTGCTGCTGGTGCCGGATAATAACCAGCTGGTAAGTTTAAACGCAGTTGCTCTGTCTTCTTCACGTTTATTTCCAATCCAGTTTTTTTCGCATTTGACTTTGCGAGTTGGCTGCGTCGTTTTTGAGTAGTGCGATGTCATCGGCGAAGGCTAGATCGTTTAACTTACGATCGATATTTGTTGTTTCTGATCGTACGCTGCGATCTGTTTTTCGTGTGCTCTCGTGTGTCTTGAAACCGTATTCTTTAGCTATCACTATGATGAACAGAAACGGTGCGAGAACGTAGCCTTGCAAGACGTCTGTTGTCACTCTGAATGGATTGGATAGTTGGCCATCAACATAGACTCTACTCTCTGAATTGTCGTACAAAACTCGAATTGCGCTCACAATCTTTTCTGGAATTCCGTAGTGTCTTAAAATGGCAAACATCATCTCTCTGTCAATCGAGTCGAAAGCTTTCTTAAAGTCGATGAAAGTAATGAAAAGCGGTATGTTTTCATTCTATGCTCCCTCCATTATTCTCCGCTATAATGGAGATCCATTCTAATATTATTGCGATTAACGGGCAATAATTTCAATATATCGACTATTGATTAAAGAATCTTTAGTAATTTTAAGTCATTAACTAAAATTAAACGGTACTGTTTGCTCAGTACCTCTGTTTGTTTTTCCCAACGGAATTTCGAAAAATCTCATCCCAGATCCAGGTGGATAATACTTTTCATCACAGCAACATAGTAATCTAGTTTCTTACTCTTTGTGTATGTGTTAGACCAGTGCTATATTTCTATTATATATTCTACATGTATGTACTAAGCACAAAACAAAATTTAATTCTTTGTCATCTCTCCTCTATGGTTATTGTAAAATATGCTGAGCTTGGTGGATTTGATGTGTTCTCATTGACTATACACGACAACACACCGAAATACGCAAATATACAGATTTCTGGAAAATGTGCTGGGCTCCCTGGATTTGATGTGTTCTCATTTACAATACAGGAGAATACACCAAAATACACAGATATATATATTACTACAAAATATGCAGAGGTTGGTGTATTCTCGGTGACAATAGAAGAGAAGATACCAGAATACGCAAATATATAAATTTCTACAAAATGTGCTGAACATCCTAAGCTTCGTGTATTCTCATTGACAATGTACCAGAATACACCAAAATGCACAAATTTGTAAATTTCTACAAAATGTGCTGGGCTAGCTGGGCTTGGTGTATTCCCAATGACAATACAGGAGAATACAGCGGAATGCACAAATATACAAATTTCTATAAAATATGCTGGGCTTGCTTGGTTCTGTTTCAATAAGGCTTCAAGTTTTTTCCTCGAGAAATAGAGTGTTTCTCCACAAGAACGTCATCTCTTTTCCTGTAGAAATCGCTGTTTCTTCACAAGAACTTCTTTTACCTAAAGAAATCGTAGTTTTTCCACAAGAGCTTCAAGTTTTTCTGTCTAGAAATCGCGAGTGTTTCTGCACAAGAACTTCAAGTTTCTTCGTGTAGAGATCGGGGTTTCTGTACCAGAACTTCATGCTTTTCATCCAGAAATCGAAATCTCTTCACAACAACTTCTTCTTTTCGCCTCCCTAAATCGGAGTTTCTCCACAAGAACGTTTTTGCGCCACTAAATCCAAAAAATCTCGTTCGTTGTTTCTTCACAATAACTTTATGTTTTCTCCTGTAGAAACCGGAGTTTCTGCAGAAGAACTTCATGTTTTTTCCTGTAAAAATTTGTGGGCTTACTGTGCTTGGTGTACTCCGTTAAGCAGTTTCTCCACAAGAAATTCGTGTTTTTTTCTAATCCAAATCAATGCTTCTTCACAACAACTTACATGTTTTCAGTTCTTGTTCAGAAACTCCGATTTTAACAGGAAAAAACATGAAGTTCCTGTAAGGAAACACTGACTTTGGAAGGAAAAGACATGAATTTCTTGTAGGGAAACGCCGATTTCTATGGGAGAAAAGTCCTATCTATTCTGGAAAAAACGTGAAGTTTCTTGGAGAATCCCCGATTTCTCACGGAAAATATGAATTTCTTGTTGAGAAACTCTGATTTTTACACGGAAAAACATGAAGTTCCGGTGCAGAAAAACCGCTTTCCACAGGAAAAACATGAAATTCTTGTGGGAAAACTCCGATTTCTATGCGAGAAAACATGAATTTCTTGTTGAGTAACTTCGATTTTAACAGGAAAACCCACAAAATTCTTGCAAAGAAACAGCGATTTTGCGAGCAAAAGACCTAAAGTTCTTGTGGAGACACTTCGTTCTCTTCCGGAAAAAACGTGCAGTTCATTCCCCGATTTCTCCCGGAAAAAGATAAATTTCTTGTTGAGAAACTCCGATTTTTCCGCGGAAAAACATGAAGTTCCGGTGCAGAAAAACCGATTTCTATAGGAAAAAACATGAAGTTCTTGAACAGACCCGTTTTCCTCAGGAAAGAGGATGAAGCTCTTGCGAAGAAACCTCGATTTTGGGACAAAAAACATGAAGTTATTGTGGGGAAACTCCGATTTCGATGGGTGAAAACATGAACTTCTTGTGGAGAAACTCCGATCTCTTCCTGGAAAATGTGAAGTCTCTGTGGAGATTCCGCGATTTCTCCTGGAAAAAGGTGAATTTCTTTTTGAGAAAGTTCGGTTTCTACAGGAAAAACGTTCTTGTGAAGAAACACCGATTTTGCGAGGCAAAGACATGAAGTTCTTGTGGAAAAACTCCGACCACTTCCGGAAAAAACGTGAAGTTTCTGTGAAGACTCCCCGATCTCTCACGGAAAAAGATAAATTTCTTGTTGCTAAAGTCCGATTTTTACACGGAAAAATATGAAGTGCTAGAGGAGAAAAACGGATTTCTACAGGAAAAAACGTGAAGCTCTTGTGAAGAAACCCCGACTTTGGGAGGAAGTAACATGAAGTTCTTGTGGGGAAACTCCGATCCCTCTCTGCAGATTCCGCGATTTCTCCCAGAAAAAGGTGAATTTCTTGTTGAGTAGATTCCCCGAAAAAGATGAGATTCTGGTGTAGAAAAACCCATTTCTACAGAAAAAAGATGAAGTTCTTGTGAAGAAGCACCGATCTTGCGAGGAAAAGACATCTTAGGCCCAAATTCTATGGGAAGTTCTTGTGGAAAAACTCCGATTTCTATGGGTGAAAACATGAAGTTGGAAAAACTCCAATCACTTCCTGAAAAAGCGTGAAGTTTCTGTAGAGACTCCACGATGTCTCACGGAAAAATATGAAGTTCCAGAGGAGAAAAACCGATTTCGATAGGAAAAAGTTCTTGAGACGATTCCTCGTTTTCTTAAGATAAAAATATGAAGTTCTTGTGAAGAAACAGCGATTTTGCGAGGAACAGACATGAAGTTCTTGTGCGGAAACTCCGATTTCTGTGGATTAAACATGAAGTTCTTGTGGAGATTCCCCGTTTTCTTGAAGAAAAAATATCAAGTTCGGATGGAGAAAAACCGATTTCTACAGGAGAAAACGTGAAGGTCTTGTGAAGAAACCCCGATTTTGGGAGGAAAAGACATGAAATTCTTGTGGAGAAACTCCGATCTCTTCCTGAAAAAACGTGAAGTTTCTGTGCTGGTTCCGCGATTTCTCCCGGAAAAAGGTTAATTTCTTGTGGAGGAGATTCCCCGTTTGGGACCAATTCGTATCCGGAACAGTTTTCGCCTATAACATCGTCGAACGTCGGACAACTAAACGATCACCATTTGAAATGATGTTCAAAAGGAAGCCAAGGGTGCCGTTTGATTCGTTCACCCCACTTGTGAAATTGCCAAAAGTATCCGATTATTGGGTTTATGTAAATCAGTTGAAAAGGCAAATGCACAAAGCAGTACAAGATAAAATTCATCAGGAACAACAAAAGATGAAAATACGTTATGATAACAGTCGACCCAATATTCATTTTCATCCAGGTGATTTGGTTTGGTTACACCGCGAAGGGCTAAATCAAAATGAGATTCAAATTATTGGACCATATATCATCAGCAAACAACTCGGTCCACAAACCTTCGAACTGGAAGATTCACAAGGACAACACCTTAGACTGGCTCATTCTAATCAGCTGAAATTATTTTACTCAGATGAATTTGATTAGAAAATTCATTTTTAGGTTGACATCCCTACTGATTAAGGATTCTTGATGGTGTTGTTTTATGATGGGAGATCCTTTTACATTTAACAAAACATCATGTATTTATTCAACGGTTATTAATGGTGGCAGCATTAGATTAGATACATCCTTTTCCATTCTGTGTTTACCTAACAAAGATTAGTGGTGGCAGCATTAATTGGTTAAATACATCCACATCAACGAAAAAGCAAACAACAAGTTCAAGATGACGTTTCAGCCCCAAATCAACGCTTGTTTCTCATCCACCGCAATCGAGCGTGCCAAAATTTTCCTTCAGGTTTTTTTCTTTTTTGGGTTATTTACGGAATATTTAATCAATTCTTTTTTATATTTAATCAATGTTATTTTTTGTTTTTAGTTTTTATTTTATTAAGGTGTAATGAGCCGATGAGGAAAGCCTCATCTCGCGTAAGGGGGAAGGTGTTAGCGAGTGACACTCGACATCTTCTCTGTCATATTGTCTGATCATCTTCTCTATTTATTATATGATCTGATCATCTTTATTAGCTTTATGGTGTGATCATCTCCTTTATTCGTTATATGGTCTGATCATCCTCTCTGTTCACTATATGGTCTGATCATCTTTGTTAACTATATGGCGTGATCGTCTTTCTTCTTTCCGTATATATATAGCGCGCTTTTCTGTAGAAGAGTCATGTTGATTATTGAATCTGTTTTAATAAACGTGAAATATAGTCATCATCATTCAAGAAGGTCAACCCTCTAACATAGAAGACGATGGAATAAAAGTCTGTTGTAGATATTCACTTCTTCTTAGTGTTGTTACTTGTTGTGTATAGTTGCGTTCAGTGACTTTGAAGGCGCTTAACAATGTTATAGAAAGACTGACAGTATTCGAAAAAACTGATAAAAAACTATTTGTACGATTGCCATGTTTTACTAGTTATTCTTAATATGCATAGATAAATAAATTTTCAACTTAAAAATAGCAATTCATAATATTAAAAACTCAAAAGGGTTTCTAGGAAGTTCAAAGTACAGCTTAAATGCGTTATAATAGGACACAGAGAGTACTTCCTAATCACCTTAAAACTCCTCAGGTAATTACTAAACAAACCCCTTCGCGAGTATCACATTTGAAATGTACATTTTCAAGCGCCTAACAGTTCTTCTCTAACTACTAGAAGAGCTTGAAAACGATGGATCTCTGATGATTCGCCAAAAGATAATTCGTCATGGCGAATCGTCTTTTAGCGAAACGGTTTTTTACCAAAAAGGTTTTCGAATTTCAGCAATCTGACTTTTTCAAGTCGTTCAAGAAATTATCATTTTCTTATGATTGATTCATTTTCTAGAAATATTATTAAAATAGATATTCACTAACCCCAATAATTTGAATCATTCTTAGTTTGAGATCCTCCCAGTTCGTCCCAAATTGACTTCTCAATTCGTCCCAGAAGTTCTTTTTCTCAGTTCGTCCCATCAACGCTCCTCTCTGAGTTCGTTCCTGATATATATACTCGCGTCTCAAAATAGATAAAGTGTTGTACCATAACAGTCTAAACGACGGCGACGTATACCGTAGACAATGCTAGGTGCGCGTACGAGGCAAAATGTGCCGTGTTAGCCACTACTATCACAAATTTAAATCTAAATAAGTTAAAATGTCGTGTTCATCAAAATGTTAATTTTCACGTCTACTGAAAAAGACAAACCAGTTTTCAATGATAATGGGTATCAATACACCAAAAAACGAGTAAACAAAACAAATAATGAATGGCGATGTCGGGATCGAACATGTTCAAGTACAATATCATTATGTACGGATGATGTGAGAATTTTACGGAATGAATCAGCACACGCGTGTATACTAAATATTGTTTTATCGTATTCGAAAGTATTTTTAATTAATCATGATTTACAAATGAAAATTCAATAAGATATTGCAAAAAAACAAATGATCATACTTAAATCTATTATTGAACAGAAATTATAAATAGAAATTCAATCCGTTAATGCAATTCAAAATTGTTAAAATAAACTCAAACATTCAACAAATATATTTTTAAAAAATTAAAGTTTTAATATTAATTATGATTAAGAAACATAAATAACGATTACTTTTGTTAAGTTAAATTAGTCTATTTTCAATTAATACTGATACAATTCAAGAGTTCAGAATCGATTTTAGTCGGATAGAGAAGAGTTAACGTTAACTAATCCAAGTACAGCATTTAGGCTGTGATATCAACTTTAGATTGATTATATTTTAAAATAAAATGTAAAGGAAGTCTTGAAATATCATGGCAGAAATTTGGAGGTTAGCTGCGGGTGTTATTCTTAGTGTCTACTATGACAGGGCATACTCACATTCCTGAACTACGCTTTTTATTTTTAACTGAAATATAATCTTTTGTTTTGCACACATCTACAATTATTTTGATATTTATAAATCAAAAATAATCGAATTTTCTTTTTGCCAAAATACTAAAACGACGTAAGAGTTCAGACTACTTGCGTAAGGTGTAACGTGTAAAATGAAGTTACCATTCAAAGCGGTTGTTGCCTAGTGACTAGGCATGCAACGGTAAAGGTTATCGTTACTGTTTTACCGGTTTTACCTTACCATAGCGGTTTAATGTTGGATATGAATGTATAGGAAAATTTATTAGAAAGTGAGATTATTTGAAGCATGTATTGATGTCGATATTTTAACGGTTTTTTATTTCTTCTTTAGCTTTTCTTTCTATATTTTATCGGTTCAAAGAGTCAATAGAGTAGATTGAAATAGCGTTTTCATCCCAGGTCAATTTTCGTGCGAAAGTCGCGGCGCGAACGCGCTACGCGATCGCTATTGGACTCGCGAAATAAGACTTTTAGCAATCGCTATAAAGTCTTGGTATAGTGATTCTCGCGACAAGATCTTGCTATAGTTATATAAGAAAATCGCGTTCTCGCAGCGCGTGTCTTGCCTTGTTTCTAAAATCACAACACGAGTTAGTAAGAGTCGTGATCAGTCGCGTCGCGAATCCTATTATGCACGATTCTACAAGAATCCTGCATAGTCGCGATAAGTTTCTGCAAGAGTCGTGCGTAGCCGCGTCAGATTTTTTTGCTCCTAGCTGCACCCGATTTTTTGCTCGTTTGACAATTTTCCCGAAACAGAAATTGCCTAGTGTTTTAAGAGGATTGCGACCATCTCATCTCTGCTTTCAAGATTTGAATCTCTCCAAAAACATCTCGTTAGATTTATCCGATCGAAAATAGCTTCTTCAGATCATTTCAGACCTCAATGTATACAGTGTTGTTTTCTTGCTTGGAGTATCAACCAGGCTTGTGATAAAGTTACCTAGAGTACACCAGTTTTTCTTCTTTGCTATAATGTACATTCAACATTATTTACGATAAATCACAGTAAAATCACAAAACAGAAAGATAAGCATCTGAAAAAGACTAATATCAGATGTTTGCATATCAGGATACTTCGTCAACATCCAATTTGGCACCCAAGTGCACCATGTTTTACCGGCTTACTCTTCGGAACATGATGCACGCAACAAGTACACAGTTATTTCAGAACAGTATATCTGGTGGAAACTGAAGGAGTCCTTCCGCCTTTTCTATAGTTACAAAGTTGAACTAAATGGTTTTTCTGAAGTATAGCTAAGTTAGAAGGTATTTTGAAAAATCAAATTCGAAAGTGAATACTTCAAGATTATCATCAACTGTTGATCTAACGGTATCCGCCTATATTTTTCAATTCTGGTTTGTCATAAGACTGGAATTAGATCTCAAAATATACGTGAGATAGATTGATATCGTATTGCTCGTCTATGGGTTTTACCGTAAGGAAACGTTTGCTGTATGTGATGAAACATCACGCTTGTACTTAGAGAGGATGTGTATGAGAAATACTAACGCTATGAACAGTTCGTTGCTAGAGCCGAGAGCTAATCTAGCATCCTGTGAATGAGGTGCTCTGAATCTATGCCGCTATCCTCTGTGGGTCAAACAGGACCGAACTGATCTTCGCTACATCCTGTAAGTCACCAACAACAAAGCGATATTACACCGAGGAAACTCATAGAGACGACAATCAACCATTTGGCGCATTTCTCACTTTAGTGTATTTATTTTAAGATCTTTTAACACGATCCACATGCTAATTGAACCTATATAGGCGAATCTCTTAGATTTTGTGCATTTTCTGATAAAGGTAACCCAGTTTTTGACTTTCAAAACTGTTAGGAGAAAAATAGCTCAACTTTGTAATAAATGTGGCAGCAATGAAAGGGCTTATTTTTTTCTGCTTCCACATACTGGAATTGAGATCTGAAAAAAAGATCATTCAAGAGTGCAGGAGCAGTAGATGAAACAGCTAAGCTGAATTGCAGGTTTGATAGAGAATTCTATTGCGCATCTAACCGTATAACATTCTTGGTTATCATTTTTGAAAAAAGACAAAGTGTTGATCTCAACAGTTGGTGACAAAGTATTTTTTCCTCGCTATAGACGCTTCGGATTTTAATTATTTATACCGAATTTTGTAGAGCTTTAAAATCTGGGGGTAGAAGGGCGTATTTATTGTATGCAAAAAATGTACTTTGGAAGCAAAAATTAAAATTTTCGTTTTTCATATCTTTCACGCACAGCAGCATATGGTACGGTTCTCACTTTTACATTGACAGCATTTGTTCATGAATGGTTGATAACTATTTAATGGATCATATTGGATAGAAAGATAATATTTTGTAGTATTTTGGCGATGGCTATTCCATGATTCAGTTCAGTTTTCGACTGCTTATGATTTTATAGATACTTCTTGACGACGTTCGATTTCTGCTTTTATCATTGATTGTATAACATGGTCAGGTAACGCAGGATTGAGATTAAATGCATAGGGAAATACCGGTCTTGGAATGTCATTAAAATTCACTATGCATTTAATAAAAATCGTATCATTTTTGACATAACTATGTTCATCCTGCTGTAGCATTGTTAGAGGAAAAAATTTTGAAATACCCGAAGCGATGTTCATGTCCATTTGAGGCTGTTGAAATGAATTGGATTCAATATTAGGGCGAAACGAATCGATAATGTGACGTTGCTGACCTGATTGGTCAAAGAGACAAAACGTGATTTTGTACGAAAATGGCCATTTCAATATTGCATCATATTCGCCACGCATTACAACAAAGAACAACGATAAATGTGTTCGGCGCGCATTACCATCGCCATTCAAGTACAGTCTCATGCACATTTTATAACCATTTCTTGAACTATAAAATGGCGTTGAATAAACGCTAGTTTGTTGTTCTGATTGAGCATATCTCATTAGTTCTGCAACATTTTTCACCTTCCACAGATACGTACCATCGTATGAAGCTGATGCTATATTTTCCATACCTTCTTTCAAGTATATCGCCTCTTGTTGTAACACATCTTGATTCAATTGAACACTGTTGATAGATGAATTATTTGCAAGTATTGTTTGTCTTGATTGATTTATTTCTTGCTGGCACTTGTTTAATAAATCTGTTATTGGTATTAATTCATTATTTATGCTGGTACATCCTTCTTGTAGCATTTGTACACCTTTTGTTAAAACTGGTAATGCTTCATGAAGTTTACTTATCTCGTTATGTAATTCATCCACTTCTGTCTGCTGCGTGTTTTCTACCAAAGGATTGACTGTGGTGGCAGCAAGATGGGATTTATTCGATGACGGTAATTTGTTTTTACTGTTCATTGAAGCATGTAATAAAATTACATGATATTGTATCGCCATTATTAAACAACGTCGATGCAATTCTGATGTGAAATGCTCATGAAGTTTCGATTTAGGTATCTGGAAATAGAAATACTTTAAAGTCGATCATTATTCCAGTAGCACACAATGGGCAAATATTTATGACTAGGCACGTGGAGATGGCGATAAAGTGATACCAAAGCCTCTAAACACTATTTTTGTAGGTTTTCGTATGTACTCTTTCCAATGTGTAATTCACAAAGTTCAAAAACACTTTCAGTTAGGTTTTCCACAAACCGGATCTTTAGAAAACCCTGATTAAAACATTTTTGCACTTGTAAATCACACCATTGGAAAGAGCGCATAAGAAAAGCTATAAAAATAGTGTTTAGCGGTTTTCGTATCACTTTTATGGCACATGTTCAGATGTGCAACCAAAACTTCCATGCGAATCCTCAAATCTGTCATTTCATTAAATCGAAGGATTTTTTGCGCATTAAAATATACAATTAACATATCATTTGACGCAGTTTTTCAAGCTGAGTCCGAATTAGATTGTTGTGATAAAAGTGATTTCGAGCTGAGAAAAATGCATATTAACTGAAAGACCAGGAATTTCGAAAAAAGTGTTATTCTGACCAATTTCTAATCCTCAACCATAACTTTCTGTCTCAATGACATTACTCTTAATTTCTTTGCATAAAATTTTCTTTTGTGCTAAAATCGGTGTGATCGGATCTATCACGGCAAGAAACTATAACTCAAACAAGTCAAGTCTTTAGAAAGATAATAGCATCCTTTTAACGTAGTTTGAGCAACTACTGATCTAAAGAGTGTCATAACTAGAAACGGACAATCTTCTTTGTCATTCTCTTAACCACAGTTAGATAAAGCAGCTACAATATAATTTCCACGTGTTAATGAAGCAGAGTGTTTCCATGGAGTCCGTATCACGATATACACAACTTTGTTCGCATAAGCTGGAACCTTTTTCAAATGAATGACCCACGCGTGGGGTTAGCGTAAATCGAGTTAAAAATGTTTGAAAATATCGGCATCATAGAACGCCAAATCTCGACATTTGCGTTTTTTTGCGTTTTGAGGATCCAGTAACACTAAACTTTCGCCTATATAAACCAGTAGTGAATCTTGAATTTTTTATGGAATATATAGTAAAACGTTAGGGCTATCTCGTGGTATCGCCAAAAAAGTTTCAAAATGTTTTGGAGATTTTGAGGAGGATTTCCAAAAAACCGATTTGGACCCTTTTTGCAATAGATAGATTTTCAGCAAAGCAAAACGGAAAATAACTTTCAAATAGTGCATTCGACTCGCCTTTGCATTATCTATCGAATGATAAAACAAAACCTTTCATAGCTTTTAAACTGAAATCGAAAAATTCGATATACCGGCGAAGATTTTTGACTTTTTGCCTGTTTTACGCTCGTTTTCTTTTATAATCTCGAATTCCCGAGGTCCCTCTCATATACTTTCGTACCTATTCGACATGGGCTTTCAGGTCGTACAAGATACGGTTTGCCCCAACTAGGACTGTAAAAGTTCCCGTTACGTTGATTTAACGCTAACTGAAAAGACAGTTACCGTTATTTAAACGATAACTGCCTTTCCAGTTACCGTTGTTTTAACGGTAACTGGTTTTCTAGTTAGCGTTGTCCATAACGGTAGAAGAAGTAAAGGGAACTTTTACAGTTCTAGCCCCAACTCAATGCCTTGCAGGTATAAATCCCATAAAATTTGATTTTTCCAGTTTTGATGACTTTTTCAGCTTTCTAAAAATGATATGATACTACTTTAGGATTACAGTTCCAAGGTAAATTGCATACCGAATTCGATGCTCATGTCGAAAGTACTCAATATATATTGCTAAATAAAGGAACAATTTATATATCTTCACCGGTATATCGAATTTTTCGATTTCAGTTTAAAAGCTATGAAAGGTTTTGTTTTATCATTC